CATGCAGAACARTTTCTAATAAACTACTGGGCTATGGGAACTTGTCAGCAGCTTTGTTAGTGATAAACTCTGAGAGAGTTGTTTTGCATTTTGAGATTTTCCACCTTCCTCAAGTATGCACTGAATTTTCAGGTATATTACAGAACTGGCTGGTTGGAGAGCTGAAAAGCACTCTCCAAAAGACATTATTTTCTCCGCTGAACAGTCTGAAACTCCTCCTGACGTCTCTGGGAAACATGTTTTTGTCTAATAGGTTATTTGCCACTTCTCAAACCAGTTGTACTATTTTACGCCTGACATGTAGAAGTGCTGTTTTGATTTATTAACCTTTAATTAACCAGAAAAATCCATTAGTGATCATAGATCTGTTTTGCAGCGGAGGCCTGAGCCTGAAGGCAGCCTGTCCAAAACACATTTCTCCATGGGTCCATCTTTTGTCACATATCTGTAGTTGGGTCAAAACTACACCTTAAGGCCCCAATCCTTCAGTCCATCTCCTGCTTCATCCTACTTATGAACAAGACACCCAAATCCTTAAACTCCCCCACAKGAGGCATAGACTCCCTCGCAGAACACAGTAAGCATTATGCATTATTTCAAGGAACGCTTGGCTTTTAGTTTCTAATGGCTTGCCCCTCAGTAATATTCTTATTAATAAGGGAGAAGGTAATCATACAAAATCAACTTTTTTGAGCTTTTATGTCWTGTTAAAACRTCATTCCTTCATCAAAATTACAACCAGGGTTGTTTTGACTCATTCATGCTTGTGTGAGAAATGTTTGTATCTCCCGTGCTTGCTGATACAAAGCACRGCYTATTTACCCAAAGCTTCTTCCYGGCTGCRTGGAGCTCACTCTCCAGTCGAGCTCCTTCCCCACAGAGCCCCCTTCCCCCACAGCATTGTTGTGAAGACRTGYTGAAGTGGGAGTGTCAGAAATGGTTTGAGGTTCTTAACGAGACAGAGGCCAATTTCAATATGTTTAAATTGACTACRATGCAWAGTCAAATTTATTGTTGATGCTTTTTYATAGCAACTGAAGGTAACATAGTTACTTAATTGTGGTATAGAATTGAACYATGGAAAATACAACATAAGGTGGACAAACAACAAATTTATTCGAAGAGTTGAGTCAACTTTTGTGTTAAAAACTCTGAAGTAAAAATATTTTTGCACATAATTAGAGCATCGTATCTGGCATGTGGGTCTATAAGCATATCCGTGTCCTCTAGGTGAATTTATTATGCATGCAGCACGTACACTTCAAAGATGCCAGCATCTTTGGAAATGTCACTGAAAATAAAGGTTTCACCATCGACTGTTACCTTAAAAGACTATTGATTGATTCATTTCCATTTATCCTCTTGGAACCAAGTCCCAAACCTACCTGGTTTGGACTGGTAAAACATTATAGTTTTTGTGTAAAACTCAAAGAATAAGAAAGGAAACTGAATAAATATATTGATTCTTCTGCAACATAAAACATTAACCACCTGCGGGAGTTTCCTTTGCTTCTGAGCTTCATCTGCCACGGTGAGGCTGAGAAAATATCAAACGTAAAGATCTCTTCTTTTTTTTTCATATATTTTTATGAAAGGTTTTCTTGATCTGCTCTGAAGCTTTCTCATCCACAAAGACTCAACGTATTYCTCTGATTGTCTCTAAAACCCTGCTGACGTTGGAGCCAAAGGATTTCAGTGCAAATTCTGATTCAAATCATACGTTTATCTCAGGGACAAAATGTAACTTGAGGTAAAAATAGCTCCATTAAAATTGTAAAATAATATCAGGGAATGCTTTCTGTATATTTACAGCTGGTTCTGCTTTAAAATATTCTGTTAAATGTCATATTTTGAAGCAGAACCAGCTGTAAAGGCCATTTCCTTTTATCTGTAGCTCTGGATGGTTCTCTTTTAAACTGATGTGTTGATATTAATCTAATTACAGCATCTTGTTGTTTGTCTAATTCATGTTTGTTATTTTATTTTTTTTTAGTGAAATACCTTTCAGTCCAATGTAAAGCCTACACATTGCTTGTCCAACATGTTTTTGTGGCTTCTCAGGTGGAACAAATTGAATTTTGTTTATGTTCTGTCAGTGCTGCTGCTGCTGCTGCTGCAGAGCTGTCTTTTTAATGGACATAACATTTTAAATGGAGACACAGTGAACTCATTTATGCCAACTTTACTGCAAAACTCCTGAAGTCATCATTACTTTTCTTGTTGTCAATCTTTTAAAGGGTTATTTCTAGAACAATGGAGCTCATTAAAAATGTAAAGCTGACATTTCTGCTGCAGTTTCTCCATCATGTGGTCACTGAATGAACTGCAGATTTATCATTCTTTTCACCTACACYGCTACCCTGAATACATTCAAAACCTTTTGTTTCTTGTCAATTTCTCAGATAACAACAAGTCAGTATAGCTTATTAATAATAATGCTTATTATCCCTTGTGATACATGTAAAATAATAGTTTTGTTTAATAATTTATTTTTGCCTTCTCTGCATCTTGTGTCATAAAGAATTTAAAAATATTGTTTCATCAAAATTTTCTATTCAGGGATGGTGAAATGGAGAAAAGCAGAGTGTTTACATTTAAACAATATTCAATAAATTATTTGAAGTACTTGAATGGAAATCTGATCTGGTGCATGTTTGGGTCACAAACCACATTTTTGCAATCTACTCAMACTTTTTAACTGTATTTTATAACTTCTTGGGACATAAATATATTCAACATTACACTTGTTATGACTAGAACATCTTGTTTGTTCACTGTTACATTTTTTTAAGATTTCCATCCATCCATCCATGTTCCTGCTTGTTCCTCTTCAGGGTTGTCTCCAGCAGTTAGTAGGTGAGAGGCAAAGTCTTGCCAGTCCATCACATGGTCAGACAAACAACACACACACACACACACACACACACACACACACACACACACACACACACACCCACACCCACACACAC